CTGGTGAAAATTTCATGTCATTAGCACCTCTAGTAATATATTTACTGAGAAAAATGGTGACGTGTTCAATACTTATTTTACCTGCTGTACATATGAGTGTTGGAAATGATAGAACGTTCTTAAAGAGACAATTTCAAGGAACTTAGACGTATACAGCATTTTCATAACTGAAGGTAACAGTTATGTGATTGTGATACAGAAATGAAGTATGTGCCTGAAAAATACACAACACCTGTTTAGTGAAAGGTCAGAATTAAGATGTTTCTAAGGGGATGCTTCCCCTAAATATAAAAATTAATCCAGATCAACGTTACCTGTCAACAGCATTGGACTGGTGGTAAGTGAAATCCCAGGGATTGGTGCTGCAGACGGACTCATCTCTGACATCCATATTCACGCTGGTCAGAATGTTGTTAATGAGGCTGAGTTCAGGATCACAAACATCTGCTTGAGGGTGTAAATTCCAGTCTTTAGTCTGGGTGTCTGTGGACTCTGTGTGCAGGTGCTGGTCTCTAGACCTGTTCGTTGGATCGACAGCAACATGACGTCCAGAAGCCTCATGGACTTGTAGGTCTGTCTGTTGTGGTCCTGGCTTTGAGGTAACGATGACAGTATATGAATTCTCCAAGTCATCTACTGGCAAGCTTAGCCAAGGATTATCAGGTGCTGCAGCAGATCGTTTCACCTTGAAGGACTCTACTTGTACTGTAGAGCTGGTCTGAATGCTTGAGTTTCCCACAGGCTGTTGATCCAACTCCTCCCTGTGATGCTGACCATCTATAATCTCCACCAGGCTCCTGGTTCTATCAGAACCAGAGTGTGAACTGAGGAGTGAAGGGGCTTTCCCGTCAGCTGAGCCCATCTCAGAAACAGCAGGTGATGTTGAAGGAAGACCCAGTTCTTTTTTTGTATCATCGCACAGAGTGCATCCAGGCTCAGAGGAACTGGGCTCACCATCACCAGGCATGCTGTTTGAGGAATCAGAGAAATGACTCTCATTGCCGCTGTGCAAAAACTCATACTGCCACTGCAAGGCAAGCTGAAGCTTTTCCTCCGACACAGGTCCAGATGAAATCAGGAGCTCTCTCAACATCAGGCATCTGATGAAGTAAAAATGTAAAACTGTCAGCAACAAGAGTGTCTCTGTGAAAGCTGAGCAAAGTTAAAATGATAAACTACATTGTTTACTCAATACAACATTCAAGTTACTACGAACATGATGTCCTGATGCATCTCAGTAATCCAGGTAAAAAATCAAAGGAAAAAAAATTGTATAGGTCTTCTGGACGGGTTCTTCTCTAATGAAACATTTCGTCTCTCCTCCAAGAGACTTCTTCAGTCTGAGAGTTTCAGGCAAAATTCAGGCTTTTAAGCCCAGCCTCCAGGTGACTGATACTCACATCACATGGCTATCGTTGACACCTAATTAACCCTTATTGTTAACA